GTCACCCTCTAACAGGAAGTGCCTAAACAAGGACAGAGCATTGTCACCCTATAACAGGAAGTGCCTGAACAAGGACAGAACATTGCCACCCTATAACAGGAAGTGCCTGAACAAGGAGAGAGCATTGTCACCCTATAACAGGAAGTGCCTGAACAAGGAGAGAGCATTGTCACCCTATAACAGGAAGTGCCTGAACAAGGACAGAACATTGCCACCCTATAACAGCGAGTGCCTGAAGAAGGACAGAGCCTTGACACCCTATAACAGGAAGTGCCGGAACTAGGACAGAGCATTGTCGCCCTATAACAGGAAGTGCCTGAACTAGGACAGAGCATTGTACTTAAATGGCTTTGTAAGCTTCTATGACAGTGTAAAGATTGGATTTATACTGTATATACTTAAGGGCAAATGTATACAGCAGTGAACGTGACCTTCACTGGCGGCGAATCAATCACTGTCATTTCACACACACATGCACCAGGAAGGTTCACCTGCAGTGAATGTTTGGAGAATGTCAGATACAATGCTTTATACATAAGCTCCAATTGTAACCAGCAATGTATCAATGGCAGATATGGATCCCTGTGATTTCACTGGCATTCCGGTATTCCTTATTATGTAACAACAAGCCGATTGCGGAAAGGGTTAAGCGCGGCGTGGAGGCGAAAAGGCGTAAAAGACGGGAACAGCGCAGATTAAAGTCTCCAAATTCCAGAAGGGATTAAAATAAATACAAAGTTGCGACATTAAACATTTTATTCGGCCTGATCCCCTTTTTATTGCCGGTTATTACCCCGAAACTAATGCTGTTAGGACACAATGCCGCGGAATGGCGATCAGTATAGGAATCTATAGCCAGGCTCCTGCAATAGGAGGATTAATGTACATGTGAACCCGAACGGGGTGCCGTCTGATTTGCTAAAGCCCTGCGTATCATACATAATTGCCTTTTTTTTTTTTTTAATAGGGACGGAGCGTTGTCACCCTAAAACAGGAAGCGCCTGAGCAAGGATGGCGGGATCACCAGAGATTATTTTAGCGAGAGATTAAAAAAAGATAAAAATGGCATTAGGACCACCGTTCGTATGGCAGGAACGCGAGTCGCAGTGACCGTTTGCTTCCTGCATTTGTCACCCATTGAGTTTAAGGGGCACTGAACGTACGCCAAACGTGGGAAAAGATATGTTTTTTGCAAATTCTGCAACCTGCATTTTTTTAGACGCGTTTGGGGTGTCATTGACTAATGGTACCGCATGCTTGCTCTGCGTTTGGTGCGTGTTTCGTTCCCGATACGCCTATGTGTTCCCGATACGCCTATGTGTTCCCGATACGCCTATGTGTGAATGGTAAAGAATATAAGATGTGAGTGATTGGGTCGACTTGTACTGTGACGTCACTGCCCGTCGTCCAATCAGAAAACATCTTGTACTCGTTAATAGAAATACTAAATGGATGCTGCGCCGAGCGAGTGTCCTCTCTGCTCTGAAAAGGGGGGGGGGG